CCGTGGTGGTTAGGGCACTCCCACAGGGGGAGCTCTGCTCAGCCACAAGCCAGGCTGCCAGCTGCCAGTACAGCGGTGGTGGTCGGAGCTTCCTCAGCAGCACTAAGTATGTCCTACTGCAGCTTAGGCCTGCTCCCCACTGGCAAATGGACATCCCCCGAGGGCTCCCGGGCTGCCAGAGTGATGTCTGACTGTCATTTTAGGCCCAGTCTCCCTGGGAGCGGGCTTAAACCAGCAGGTGGTCATCCTCCAAGGGGTCCTAGACTGCGAGAGGGCACAGGCCAGGCTGAGGAACGCCCCCTGAGTGCACAAATTTTTGTGCACCAGGCCTCTAGTATTTAATAAAAATTTTAACCAAGTTTACCAATGGCGGGAAAATATTTGTTGTGTAGTAAAAAGAAAAGGAAAAGATACATTTCTAGAATTTCAAAATACATTATAAATAGGCCTGTTATAAACTTCCTTAATATTCCCATAATGAATATATTTTATAGGAACAGAAGTTTTTACCTACTGTATTTATAGTGAATTCTAATCTGTTCAAATTCAGGATGAATAAAACATACCTTAACACCTTCAGTTGTTTTAAATGGTTGGGATCAGAAAAGGTTTTAATGTATGAAAATATAATTTTATCTCAAGATACTTGAATGAAATATAAATAGAAAAACTGGAAATGTTCAGTCCAATCCCAGGGTGGTAATTACCTTGTTATACTGGAGAGGTTGTTGATGTCTCTAGAAAGTCTCACTTAAATTGATGAAGCGGATGGATGGATGGATGGTAAGGGGAGTTGCTTTATCTAAGATTCTATTTAAAAAACCCAAAGATCTGCATTAATATAGATTGCTTTGTTATACACTAAAGCTTATTTATTTTAAAAGCTTCATCATATTGATGACAAAAAGGCTATTTGCCCTTTGGAAATAGCCACTTTCAGCTTGATTCTAGTTGGAATTTTTAAGGTGTCTTTTAATAGGTCTTAATTATGAAGGGAACTTCATTATCTTTAACATGGAAGCTTTTGGTGGTAAACATAATTCAAAGTAATGGATATTGTAATAGTTTTGACATTGAGATATATTTACTTTTTACAATTTGAATATGGATGATAATCTCATGGTGGGATTTTATTAAAACAAAATAAGATTCCTCTATGAGAAGCTTAAAAACCCCACAAAAAATAATTATGCTCTTTGAGAGATAGGATCAAAACTTCCCTTCTCATAGTTTCTAATCTTTTAATCATAGTAAGAAATTATTAAGGGAAAATAAATGGAAAAGAAGCAAGCCATTTCCAGGGGATTGGTGAATTTTGGATCTCGAAGTAAAGGGAGTCAGTTTCCATACTGGAGAAATTTTTTTCAAGTTTCTCTTTTCAATTTCAAATTACCTCAAGCAAAACAGAGTATCTTTTAACCAGTTAATTGGTAATTCTTTTTAATTATTATTCTTAGAGAAATGGGAGGTATATTACAGCTTTTTTTGTATGAATGGATAAAAATTATGGTACTTATAAGTTCCAGATTTATTAGAATTTTAAGTTTCTTATACACCTAATTTATTGTGATATTGAAGTTTTGTATCAGTTAATATTCAGTTGTATTTTTTCATAATTTTGAGTTACAACGTCACTGTATTCTTTCTTTCTTTGTTAGATTCACACAAGTCCATGTTTTTATCAGTCTTCTGAAAAGAGCCAGCTCTTACCATTGAAGACAAATCTATGGCACTGGTTGAACCCTGGAGATAGTTTTTCTTTGTTTGTTGACAAATACATTTTCCGTGTTTTCTCTACGTATTCTGAAACAGAATTGGGCTGTACTTTAAGGTAAGATTGCCTGATGAAATGACATTAGGTAATGGTATTTGTAACCTAATTCCTCAGCCATCCGCAAATGCCTCAGGAGGAACTATTCTAGTATTAAACTGTATTGGCGATATAGGAGTTACATGGTGTGTGTGTGTGTGTGTGTGTGTGTGTGTGTGTTTCCAGAAAACATTTGGAAATTCATACCTCAATAGTGATTGTTCTCATATGTGGTGTCTTTTACCACTGTGTTCAGAATGTATTTTCCATCTAACAGTAATGAGGATAGTTAATTTGAAACTCACTATATTTTCTTAATCTTTTTGTGCACTTTAAAGTTTTTATTTTATTATGTTTGTTGTTGAAAGTATTACAGATGTCCCCCCTTTTTCTTTATTAAGATATTAAGCTTTGACTTAGACTAAAGTTGCATAACTTTTATTTCTTATAAAAATAACAGAAAATATAGAATAGGGAAACTGAGGAAATGAGGTGTTATAATAAACATCTGGTGTAAAATTAAATTATATAATACATAAACTGGACCTATAAAAGTAGAGTTATATACTTACTTCAAAAATCAGAAAAATGCTGTACATTTCTATTTTAAGCAAACTATGACCATTGCCTGATAACTCATATACATTATTATATGTCAATTTTAATTTTTATGTCTATTCAAATTAGCTTGTCCCCTTGGTGTGAAAGATCAGTGTTGTGCCTTCAGTCAGATTGTGAATTTTAAATTGTTTTGGTATTGATAAAACTGAAAATAGAACCCACTTTAAGAACACTCTATTTTTTCAGGCTATTATGAAGAGTATTATCTTGTATGTTATTGCTATCAAGCCAAATGTGTTGAAAGAGGTAGTAAATATTTTTTATATGTTTTGGTAATTATGTGCTTAATTTAGGGTAACCTAAATTTTATATTAAAAATGAAATATTCTGGTTTTAGTCTGCTCTTGTAAAATTTCCTTCAGGGTGTTGATTTCACTCTTAGCTTTTTTTCCATTTGTGATTTGGAGTTTTCAAATATTCCCATCTATATATATAAAAGGATAATATGCAAAGTGTCCCCTTGGGAGTTTGACCAGGAGACCGGGAGTTCAATCGCTCGCCATAATGTGCACTGACTACCAGGGGGCGGCACGAAATGAAGTAAGACCCTGGCCAGCAGCCAGGGAAGGAAGGCCCGGGCCGGCAGCCAGAGGCCCCGATTGGCCCTGATCGCAGGCCAGACCTAGGGATCCTACCTGTGCAGGAATTTTGTACACTGGGCCTCTAGTGATGATCTAATGATTTTTGATGTGCAATAATGATTTTCATTTTTTTTACTTTGGTCCCTATTATGTAGTAACAATAGTTGAAAGACCATTAAGTTAACTATAATTTCTATTTTTAATTAAAAATATTTGTCACGTATGCATCATTCAATATATGATTCAAAGCATATAGCCCTCCCTTTTGAGCATTTTGGCAATATTTGATTCATTTCAGAATGTTTTTGATTTCATTGCATTTAACATTTGAACAGGCAGAATAAAGATGAACCTAAAATACTGAATATTTTCTCAAAAGGGGCTATGTCCAGAAGCAACCATAGACAATATGTAAACAGAGATCCATGGCTATGTTTCAGTAGCACTTTGTTTACAAAAACAGGTAGCAGGTTTGATTTGGACTAAGTGTTGCTGTTTGCTGATTCCTGTATTAGAGTAAAAGCTAAGTTGCTTAAAAAATGACCTCCAAATGCAGTGCTTAAACAAGATAGAACATTTTTTCTGTCACACAATGGTCCAGAGTTATAGGCATGCTCTCCTTCATAATGTAATTCATGTTCTCCAGCTAAGGGAGAAACTCTGTCATCCTCAATATATATCTTTTAAATTAGTTTCATTGTTGGTGTTGCCAGTTGGTAAGGTAAGAAGGAAATGAGGAAGAGAATCCAGGACAGTGTCTTGCACATATCATTTCCATTTACACCCCTAGTTCCCCAAATTAGGCACATGGCTATACAGAGTTGCAAGGAAAGCTGAAAAATGTGGTCTCCAGCTAGGTGGACAGACATTGTTACAGATGCTTACTGACCAGTGCCATTCCAACTTTGCTGTCTGTTATGCCAGTAACATCCACTTAGCCTCTGATGTTTAATGCTAACCACAGGGCCTGCGCAATTCTAGAATCCTGTCATCTCCAATGATACTACGGAGCCCTGTTTTTTGGCAGCCCCCCCTACCACCAAAACTGACCTGTAGAGGCAGCTACCATTGAGCTACTCAACACTGTCTCACTAGTGTGTACCTTATTGCTTAGTGTTTTGGGTCCTTCCAGAGAACATAGCCAGCTGATGGATTCTCTAGTCTTATGTAAGAAATCCATTTTAGCATGCCTCTTTGGGATAGCATTCAACTGTCTGTATTAGTCCCACTCCTGCACCCCTAGCCCCTGGCAGCTGCTGACCTGATTTCTGTGCCTATAGCTTTACCTCTTCAGAATATCATATAAATAGCTCATTTGACTTAGCAAAAATTCTTTCAGATGCATTCATGTTTTGTACATACCAGCATTTCATTCCTTTTTATTTCTGAGTAGCATTTCTATTTCCATCTTCAAATTTTCAAAAAGATAAATTTGTTGGATCATCTCTATGCATACATAAGTGATAATGATGCAACAACTTTGGATGATCTTATCACATTTGCAGCAAGTAGGAAGTAATTGGTTCTGCTAGTATGTTCCACAGGTGACCATGTGTCAGAACATTTCGCTTTCAGTCAGGCTGCATGTTTGGGGAGATTTCACAACTGGCTGTACTGGACAGAACCCCAGTAACAGTTATAGGATTTTATTTATTTTTTCTCCAAGGGCCTAACTAACTTAGCTGATATATTTGCAATTCGCATTTTCTCTTTGGATTCTGCATGGTGATCTTAACTTTTATGGACTATCTGGACAAATACTAAATAAGTAAGTAGCTCTTAAGCCTTGAGAGAGATGACTGATCCCCATCTGATAAATAGTTGTGGTTTTTAGGCCCAGGATTTGGAAAGATAAATGTATTTTATGGTGATCCTGTGGTCAGAAGACAAAGAACATGTTCTAGTTTAAATATTTTATTCTATTATAGTATAATCTGCTTTTTTGTTCTAAGTCTGAGAAAAGTAGCATAACTCATTATTTAGATGTACTTGGGAGACTTACATTTAAAATAACAAATAACAGCAGTTTTAAATTCAAATGCTAGATAAATGATTTTGATTTTATTTTCTAGAAATAGTCAAATGCTTGATGAAGATGAAATATTGAACGAAACACCAGAATCATCCTTGGTTAATTTGCCTGATGAGACGACTGGTGCCCCACAGCTGGAAGGAAGCACAGGACTAACAACGACCCAGACTTCTACTACAGATAGTGTGGTGAGAAATTTAATATCTCATCCGTTTATAACCTGTCCCTTAAATTATTTTGAGGAGAGAAAAGACAACTGAAATTAGGCACAACACTTCACCTAGTAGAGATCATGAATGTCTTTGAGAAATTTGACAATTCAGTCCATAATTGCAGATGGGTATTTTTATGGTAGCTTTCTACAAAGTAAAAAAATTTACAACTTCATTAAGGGAGCATGCTTATTTTTGGTAATTAATAAGATAGGTGATTTTTTAGTCTTTCGCAGGTGAATGCTCAGGCATCAGTAAGCAGCAGTCCAACCCCGCCCAGAGGAAGAGAATCCTTCCAGCGTGGATGTTAACAGATCTGGGTGATCAAAACCTCCCAGCACCAGTGACCAGTGGAAGTAGGTTTTGTTTCAAGCAAACATTAAGCAGATTTGAAAGTTTTTATGAACAAATGAAGAGGTGAATAACATAGCTTAACATTTTTTTTAGATGTGTACATGAAATCTAATTTAAAACACTAGCTATTATGCTATTTATCAGACATCCTGTTAATTATTTTTTGATTTAACATGTGCTAGACTTACCATATTAACAGATTTTTAAACAAACTTGTGCTGTCATGTCTAAGATAAAAGGCCAGCACAGTAAGGGCTTTATAAATTAATATAATTTTTAAAAAGTGCTAGACACATGATGTTATGTGCTGGAGGATTTAAAGAAGAGGTGACCTCTGTCCTAGTATCGCTTACTGTCCTGGCAGATATTACAATGATTTATGTCATCTGCTGGGTATTCCCATTGATTTAAGATTATTAAAAACATTTCTGCATTGTCTTATTTAGTCAACATTTTATTTGCAACTTTTCAGTCATCTCAGGTTCAGTTTCTTTTCACTGCTTGTTTTCTTCATTTTCCTTTTATTCTCATCTAGTGACTTTCTGTTGGAAATTATAAATGATGTCGAGCTTTTGATTTTATGTTCCTCTGAATAGGTATTTTTGTTCTAATAGACAATTAATTTGGTCTGATAGGCTATTTTCTTTGAATAGGCAGTTAATTCAAGCCCTAAATTCTGTTTTCCCCTGTGTGGACAGCAGTTACAGTCTCTGCTTAGTTCTCCCAGCTTCCAGCTGCTGCTTCCCCCAGGCCATGTAGTGAGCTATGGGTTGATTCTATGCATTGATTTTGGTTTTGGTTCTCTGTGAGTTTCTTTCTTTTAGGATTTTATCCCTAGCTTTCTACCTGCTCCACAAGCCTCTAACTCTGTCCCATGAACAGGTAAGCCAGTAAGACTTCACCTTCTGCTATTTGTGGGAGATGCTCTCAGGAAAGAGCCAAAGTTTACAAACCTCACAGGTTGTAGTGAGTTTTCCAAGCTTAGAATCTTCTCTACTTTTGCCTTTTGGTCACTCTCCAGTATTTTCAGATAGTGGCTTTTATATATTTTGTCCAAAATGTTTAATGGTTTTGTTCATGCAAGCTACTCTTACATTTTACCATGAACATTATCTTTTATAAAACAACTAGAGGCCCAGTGCACAAAAATTTGTGCACTTGGGGGTGAGGGGTTCCTCAGCCCGGCCTGTGCCCTCTTGCAGTCTGGGAACCCTCGGGGGATGACCACCTGCTGGCTTAGGCCTGCTCCCTGGGGGATTGGGCCTAAGATGGCAATCAGACATCCCTCTGGCAGCCCGGGAGCCCTTGGGGGATGTCCACTTGCCAGCGGGGAGCAGGCCTAAGCTGCAGTCGGACATCCTTAGCGCTGCTCAGGGATAGTGTCCCGGATCAGGGTAGGGGTCCTGCTTGGGTGCCTGGCCAGCCTGGGTGTGGGGCTGATGGCTGTTGTTAGGCTGCTCGCACCCCCTTTAGGGTGGGGGTCTCCACTGGGGTGCCGGGCCAGCCTGGGTGAGGGGCTGAGGGCCGTTTTCAGGCTGACCTGGGACTGAAGCTCCCAGCCTCTCCTTTTTTACTTTTAATTTTTATTCTGAGATTTATTTACCTTCTGTAATTGAAACTTTCTTGCGGCTCCAGCTCCAAGGCCGCAGCTGGCTGAAAGCAGGTATCTGGGGATTGTTTAGCTTCTATAATTGCAACATTGTTGCTTAGAGTGCAGCTCAGAGCTGGGCTGCGGCAGGTGGGGAACCTTGGCTTCCTCCATCACTGGAGCAAGCAAACCTCCTATTCGCTTCAGCTGCGTGGCTGCTGGCTGCCATCTTTGTTGGCAGTTAATTTGCATATCACCCTGATTAGCCAATGGGAAGCGTGTCGGAGGTACGGTTAATACCCTTTTTGTCTTTTATTAGATTAGATAGCAGAATTGTATATTTATTTTAGTTGATATTCCTACTCTTACTATTTTTAATATTCAGCATAGTGGTCACAGAAGTCTTCTAAAGTCTTTGATCACGTATGTTGTGGACAGCATAATGCTAGTTTGGATTGTAGGAGGATCAGAAGAATGATAATGCAATAATTAATAAATAATAATCCTATATAATAAAGAGCTAATATGCTAATTAGACCGAATAGCAAAATGACTGTCTGGATTACCTTCAGACGACTGTCTGGACGATCTTCTGGACGAAGCCAGGGCTGCAAGGGCTGAGCCCCTTGCACGAATTTTGTCCATCGGGCCTCTAGTACAATAATAAACTCTGTTTTTGTACTCACAACTGTAAACCTACTTTTGCCCCATCCTGTATTTATTTTATTTCCAGCAATATTGCTAAATGATCTAATTAATTATAATAGTTTTTTTTAGCCTCTTGGATTTTCCAGCTGTATAATCATATTTATAGAATTATGACATGTTGGCTCTTTTTTTTTAAAAAAAATTGTTTATTGTTGTAAGTATTACAGATATACCTCGTTTCCCCCCATTGACCTCTTCAATTCCACAACCACCCCAACATAGGCCTCCATTGCAATTTTCTGTGTGCATGGGTTATGCATATAAGTTTTTTGGTTAATCTCTTCCCACTCCACTCACCTTCCCTCTGAGATTCATCAGTCTGTTTCATGCTTCTATAACACTTCTGGCTCTTATGATCTACCTACTGCTTCTTAAATTTTTCTGACCTTATTTCATATGCTAGAACCTGTACATTTTAAATAAAAATGGGTAAAATTGGTACCTGTTTCTTATTCTGATTTTAATAGGAATTCTATTAGTTTTTAAGCATTTAATAGGATTGGGATTGATTCTGGTACTCTTATGTTTAGGATATGTGTTTTTTTTCCCCCCAGGAATAATTGTTGAAATCTCTGGACATTTTTTAGTATAGTCTTGCATTTTCATATGTTAATGTAATTAATGATATTGGTAGATTTCCTAATGTATCATGCTGTGTTCCTGGAATAAGTTCAGTTTATCATAATGGCTTATTATTTTATACTCTGTTATTAGATTTGCTAATATTTAGTTTAGAACATTTGTATCTATACTCACAAGTATGGTTTGTATTTTTTTCCCACGTGTGCCAACTATGTTAGATTTTGGTGGTAGAGCTTTATTGGTGTTGTATAAAACGAATTAGAAGCTTTTCTATATATGCTCAAGGACAGTTTGAGTAACAGAAATATCTGTTTCTTTTTTTTGAAATTTGATTTTAGAAAGAGGAAGGGAGAGGGAGAAAGAGATAGAAGCATCAATGATGAGAGAGAGGAAGGGAGAGAGAAAGAGGAAAATAAAATTGACCTATTACTCACCCATCTATGCATTCATTGATTGACTCTTGTATGTGCCTTGACTAGGGATCAAATCTACAATATTGACATATAGGAATGATGCTCTAGCAACTGAGCTACCCGGCCAGGGCTAAATATAGATATTTTTAAATTTAGAATTTTATATACATTCTAGGGCCTGTTGCATGAATTCGTGCACCAGTGGGTTCCCTTGGCCTGGCCTGTGGGATCGGGCTGAAACCAGCTTTCCAACATTCCCCAAGGGGTCCCGGATTGCGAGAGAGCGCAGGCCAGGCTGAGGGGCCCCATCAGTGCACTACTGGGGCCAGAGAGGGACATGGGAAGTTGGCCAGCTGGGGAGGGACCACGGGAGGGCTCTAGGGTGTGTTCAGCCCATCTTGCTCAATCCCAATTGGCCGGACCCCAGCAGCAAGCTAACCTACCGGTCAGAATGTCTGAATAAATGTATTCAAGTTGACATCACCATAATGGAACTTTAATTTTACTAGCTACCCCTTCCTTCCTTCCTTCCTTCCTTCCTTTCCTCCTCCCCCTTCTCCTCCTCCTTCTCCTTCTTCCTCTCTCTCTCTCTCTCTCTCTCTCTCTCTCTCTCTCTCTCTCTCTCTCTCTCTCTCTCTCTCTCTCTCTCTCTCTCTCTCTCTCTCTCTCTCTCTCTCTCTCTCTCTCTCTCTCTCTCTCTCTCTCTCTCTCTCTCTCTCTCTCTCTCTCTCTCTCTCTCTCTCTCTCTCTCTCTCTCTCTCTCTCTCTCTCTCTCTCTCTCTCTCTCTCTCTCTCTCTCTCTCTCTTGTTATTGTTTTGTTTTTTTGTGTGTGTTTTTTTGGGGGCATTGATTATTGACATTGGAAGATATAGGAGATAATTTTCTCCTCCTTTTTCTTTGTGTATGTGTACTTATGTGTGTTTAAGATAATGTAAGCCAGAAAAGTGGAAGAGAAGGAATCTGCAAAAATAAAACCCAAGAAAACATAACACAGCAAGGAAGAAAGCGATTGATTTCACCAAGAAGCTCACAAAGTACATCTGCAGAGCAAGACACAGGAAAAAAGTGCAGAAATGTTGATCAGGAAGAGTCTGTCATTTCATCCAAGGTGATTTAAAAAAATAATTATTTGATTGTTTTCTTAATCAAATATTCTAGATAGCAATTAATTATATGTTGTATGCAGCAAGGAAAAAACAAAATTGCTTTTTATTAATGAGTTTATGAAGTTTACAAAAAGAAAAATTAGCTCATATTTTGCTGACTTGCAGACACAAACCTTTAATATAGTATTTGCATTGTAGGAAACAAGGTTATTTAGAAATTTTCAGACTGGGGGAAAGGTAAAGACCACCTGACTGTGGTTATTGGAACCTCCATTATTAAAAAGTGGCCTCTTCTTATTATATTGGTTATTCTCAAATGGCATGTAACCACTTTTTCATTTTCTTTCTTTTTGTTTGTTTGTTAATCCTCACCCGAGGATATTTTTCCATTGATTTTTAGAGAGAGTGGAAGGGAAAGGGAGAAACAGAGAGAGAAATGTTGATGTGAGAGAGATGCACCAATTGGTTGCCTCCCACACATGCCCCGACCAGGGCCCAGGATCCAGCCTGCAACTGAGGTACATGCCCTTGACCGGAATCTAACCAGGACCGTTCAGTCTGAGGGCCAACACTCTATTCACTGAGCCAAACCAGCTAGGGCAAACCACCTTTTTCTTGATGAGTATTCAGAGACCAACTAATGGGCTAATTCTTACTAGCCTGTTGCAGGATTACTTCTGGGCTAACTTTTAGTATATATAAATCTTCTCTTTCAGTTTCTGCTAACTTACTAAAATAGTTTGGATGACTTATGCATTCTTTAGCACCAAGTACTTAAAGAAAATTAGGCCTATATTGGATGCATATAACAGGAGAGGAAAAAAAGATATCCCTGGGACAGAAAGGTCAGATATTCTTCCTCTTGGTAGAGGGATGGCTTCAGATACAGTTTTCATGATCCTGTAGACCTACGGCTGAACTCTGTGGTCCTCATCTTTTTAGTCTCCACAAGAGCCAAAGGAGTAGGATTGGTTTTAGGATAGTGTGCACTGGAGTGATTGAAAGGCCAGTAGCCTTCCCGAGGGTCAGGTCTTTTGTAATACTCCCCTCACTCCTGCCTCCTCACCACCAGAGCAGATCCAGCTTCTCACTGGATCCTTCTTTCAACTAGAGAGGTGGGGTCTAATAACTATAGCCCGAACCCCTGGCTTGCTTTTGGAGTCAAGTTTAAGAAGTGAAAACAATAGCCGAAACCGGTTTGGCTCAGTGGATAGAGCGTCAGCCTGCAGACTGAAAGGTCCCAGGTTCGATTCCGGTCAAGGGCATGTACCTGGGTTGCGGGCACATCCCCAATAGGAGATGTGCAGGAGGCAGCTGATCGATGTTTCTCTCTCATCGATGTTTCTAACTCTCTGTCTCTCTCCCTTCCTCTCTGTAAAAAATCAATAAAATGTATTTTAAAAAAAAAAGAAGTGAAAACAAAGTGTTTCTGACTCAGTGTATTGCCCACAAAAGCTTATAAGGTAAAACTTATTTACTTTGAGACCTAACATGCTCTACTATCTGAACATATTATTATGACTGCCTTTATTTTCCAAGAAGAGAAGTTTATTTTTTCAGAGTAAAATCTATAGTATACATGTTTTACTATGTTTATTTCAACCCATCAGTTTGATGATCACAAGTACTACTTTCACAAACACCTTCTTAACTGATAGATTTTAGAGAGGAGCAGTAAACAGGGCCAAAATATTTGAGGTATTTGTGAGATTTTGATGACATCAAGGTAGTATTCAGCCAGGTCCCAGGAATGTCTGAGCTCTACTTGGCCAATTTTGTTTCCTTATCTTAGGGTTTCTGAGGGAGAGTCAGCTCTCATAGCACAGGAGAAACAGGGCTCAAGGTTTCAGTACCTTTTCATAACCTTTTGTGCAGGGCTTTCTGATAAAGCTGGGCCAGAGATGAGACTTAGACTGAGACCCAAGAAGACCTTTCTAAGCCCCACCGTCCATCCCCACCCAGTTTCACTCTTAACTGGCTTGTAGCTGGTCATGAAGGGATATCTGCAGTGCAGAAGCAGGTGAGAGGGAAAGTTACAAGAGTGAAAACAGGAGGTTGGGGCTGCCTATTTATGCTGTAATGGCATGAGATTGCCAATTATATGGGACTAAGAACAGTTTGGCCATGCCTGCAGAGTAGACTTGGTTCCAGTTCACTTGAGAAGAATCAGTCACATTTTCCTGGGAAAGAGAAAGAAAGGAGGTGGAGAGAAGGGGCAGAAATCACCTTCCCTCACTGGGCCCTACTCCTGAGATTCTGATTCAGTTGTTGTGTGCACATCAGTATTATTTTAAATAAACATTTTCAATTTTAATGTGTACACAAGGTTGAGAGCTACTGATGTTCCATCATTCAACACCTTGAAGGTAACTGGGCCCAAGAGCACATTGCTAGAGACCTTGGGCTCAAACATAGGTCTTTTCATTTTGGGTACAATGGATTTCTCTACCATACATATGAGACTGTCTGCAAGAGTTTTGTGGCTCTATAACTTCTGATAATGCAGCGAATTGCTCTGAAATAGTTCATTTTTCATCAGTTTCCTTATGTCACCCCTTACCAGTTATGTAATTATCTAATTGGGGAGTGAAATGAGGGTGCTTGAATTTATGAACTTTAACAGAAATAATGGTATGTCCTGTACACAGTCTAATTAGGACTGGGTTGTAAATGACAGAAGGGAGCCTAACTGATTCAATGTAAGGAAAATGAAGTGTATCAGCTGTCTATTGCTGGGAAACAAGCTACCCCAGCACTTAGTTGCTTAGCAGAACAATGATTTATTATCTCTTATAATTCTGCGGATTGGTTCAGCTCAGCTAGGCAATTCTTTTATGACACAATTTTGGTGTCAGCTTGACTGTATTCAGCTGAGAGCTCAGCTGAAGCTAAAGCATCCATGGTGGCTTCACTCTCAGGAATGGTGCCCCAGCAAGGATTGATGGAATGACTGGGGACTGGCTGGGCCTCCCTCCTTCCACTTAACTATTAAGTAGTCTAAACTGAGAATCTGTGCCTGACAGAGTGAAAGAAGAAGCTTTCAGGTCTCTGAAGGCCTAGAACTGGTACATGATCATTCTGCAGCATTCTTTTGGTCAGAAAAAGTTACCACTTAGATTCAGGGGAAGGGGATTATATAGAAGGTATAAGTGGAATTATTGGCAGCCATCTTTGATTTATATAGAAGGTATAAGTGGAATTATTGGCAGCCATCTTTGATGACTGTGTCTTACACAGAGATATAGGAATAATTCAATTTCCAGAATGGAAAGAAAAACAGCAGGAACTATAGATCATAGGGACCAGCCAGAGACTTGAGCAAATCAGGTTGGTCTATGGTTTTCTTATTTTTGCTTCTTGAATTATTCTTCACTGCTATTGACAGGCTTTATTCACACGGTCTACAACATGGTCAGAGGTAGCTTTAGGCTCATGCCATCCAGTTTTTTAAGTTAAGAGAAAAAAAATCCACAAGAGTGTCTTGTTTCTGTGGTTGCTTTAGTGTTAAATTCTAGGAACTTGGATAATGGAATCTTCATTTTGACCATTCATAGTGGTCAGAAAGATGAGGCAGTATTACCCCTTTCTCAGTCATTTGATAATGAACGGAGGAAAGAGGTCTAGGAAGAAATGAACAATATACATTATACTTTTTAAAAACACTATAGTTAGATTTGGATAAATTCAGAGAGCAGGAAAACAACTGTGAAAGGCATCGTTGCTGAGCAGAGGTGCAGATGCACGGAAGTGTGTGCTCCATTGATGTGTATCACACTGCAGTGTCATGTGTGTGTGTGTGTGTGCATGGATGTGTGTGTGGATATGCATGGGCAAGAGCTGAGGAGGAAGCTACAGAACAAATCAGAGTGAAAGCCAGATTAAGTAAGAAATCAGGACTATATTTTATGGCTTCAGATACTTATTGAAGTGTTTTGAGTGAGAGTTACATGGTTAGGAGTGTGTAGCAGTGATATGTAAGATGGAGGTGGGACCAGCCTAAGAACCTGCCACAGGTGGCCACAGGGAATGAAAGCCTGGACTGGAATGGTGCCATTGGGACCAGAGAGAAGTAGAGAAATGTGAGAGACATTTTGGAGATAGAATGTGAACAAACCTGTTGACTAACAGAATATCGAGGAAGAGATTGAAAATGTTCTTAACAGAGCAGTAGACATGGCAGTTGGGGAAGAGATGGGAGGACTTTGTTGGTTTGAGGCAGTGGTGATGAAACTGTGAAAGCCGTCTAATAGAAATGAAAGTCTGTCTCATAGGAGAGAAAAAAATCAGAGCTAAAGAGTTCTGTTATGCCATATTATTTGGGAGCAACTTGCAAATACGCCTGTATTTCATTCAGAGCAAACGGAGTATATGTGGAGGTGGATGCTTTGGTGATAAGAACCATTTCTAGATGTACTTCCTGCTCTGTCCTCTCTATGCAGCTTCCCTCTGTGATAATAATTGCTGAAACAAATAAGCTGGCTGTTAAGTATCTCATTTCTCTATAGATAGATGCCTGCTGTGGAGTCTCAACTCATTTTTCTTTAGGGAAATGGCAGGGGAGATAAAGACTACAATGCTTACTTACACAGCTATTTCTTAGGAAAGGCTGAATTCCCCAGAGCTCCTAAGTATTGGTTTATTAAATCAAGGAATCTTATACCCTTTGCTCCTGATTGGTCATTTGGGTTAGTACCGTTTATAGCATAGTTCTGATCAGTCCCATAGAAACATCTTTTCATTTATCATCCATTCACTCGTGCACTCATAAGCATTCATTAATAGTAGTAATGTAGTGGCATTAATTATGCTATTAACAATAACAAATGAAAACAAAAAACTACAACATTTAGTGAACTCTTATTCTGGGCTAGACCCAGCACTTAGATATTATTTCATTTAATTTTTAGAAAATCCTGGAAAGTAGGTTGATTATATATCTGCTTTATAGATTATGAGACCTGAGGTTCTGAGAGTTTAAATCAACTTGTTTAAAGTCAAAGGTTAAGAAATGGCAAAGCTGATATTCAAAATCCAATTATTTTACTTCAAAGATTATTCTAATAATCATTATACTAAGCAGTTATATGCAAGGCAGTGTACTAGAATTTGGGATTAGATGAATAATATGGAGTTAATAAGGAATCCTAGGGACATGATTCGAATAATAAAATAATGTGACCATACATTGATTTTTATGGGAGCTTTGAGGAGGACTACCCAAGCCAGCTGGAGGATTCCTAGGGAAGAGTTCCTAAAAGAAATGATGGAGCTGAATCTTAACAAAAGAGCAGCAGGCACAGCCCAGGTGTGGAAGAGGTAGAGGTAGGAGTCCATCCCAGGTAGATGGGGCAGCAGGTATATGAGCAGGGGGATACAAATGTTATGTTGGGAGTTCTTAGTGCAAAGTAGGTGGCAGTGTGAGATGAGGGTGAAGTCTGAAGGGGGGACTAGTTCAGAGGGAAGACCTTGAGATGTTTTCAGCCACAGAGGTAATCCCGGCAGCTCTGCAGAGGAGAGCTTGGAAGATAGGGGAAGAGGGAGGAGATTAGGGAATTAACACAATCAAGAAATAAAGAGAATGGGCCCAGGGCAGTAACTTTAAGGATGAAGCAAAGGCATTGGATTAGAGTAATGTATAGGAAGCAGAACTGTAGGACTTGTTGCTTGGATCTGGGGAAAGTGGAGGAAAGGAGGGAAAGAAACACTTCCAAGGTTCTGGCTGGAATGAGTGGATAAGTTACATTGGCATAGCTATGGTACAGAATACAGAGGGAGGGTTGCAATTTTGACATTTTGAGTTTGAGGTGCATTGGATATTGGAGAAGAAATGTCTAGCTAGTGATTGAATAAATATGTGACTTTGAAGCTCAAGAGTGAACATGGGGCTAGAGTTTAGGATTTTTTAGTCTCTAGCATGCGGGTGTTAATGGGATGGATGTAGGACTTTTAAAGTAACTTATGAGCAGACATTCTTTCCAAGAGCAGCTTGGAAACAATGATGAATTACCTCATTGAACTAGTATTAGGAGGAAGTTTTTTATTCTGTGCCTTATAGTACATGAAAACTTCAGATGGCTGAGGGATGGGAAGGGCAAGTTAATGGACTATTTTAATAGCCTTAATAATGCAGTCCAGCTGCCTCCAAGCACCAAGGTCACCTTCCATGAGCTCCATGCTCCTCCATCCCAGAGGTTTCTAGCATGTATTTTTATGGTGTACGGGATCCGTCCTCTCCATAATGAATCGCTAGCCTCCCATACTTCATTCTTCATATTCTCATCCAATCTAAGAAAGAAGCAATGTGGGTATTTATAAAATATGGAACTCTCTGCCTTTGCCCTATTTCTTCCAAGTACAGAGCACCTTCCATTTTTCCTCTTCCCTCAGTTGCCAGTTCACTTGCTCTGGCTCATGAGCTTTGTAATTGGCACAGTGCAAATTTATGTCTCAGCAAACTTACAAATTACTGCATGTAATGGATTTTGGGGATCATTTATAAATAATTGAAACCATGATTGTTAAATTCTTGAATGCCAAGGGTCTACTGAATATTAATATTTCATGGAGTTCCATAAAGAACATTATGAATTCTAGCTTCTGTGACTCTTAAAATGGTATATTTGAGAACCCCTGACCCATAGAATTGATATCTGTGACTTTATAACTTCTTTCTCTTTTAGAATAAATTAATGTGTTAAACATATTTCTTGTGAAGATATTTTTTAAAAAAACAAATCCTTATATTTCATGGAAGCAGAGGGAGTTGAAATATGATGCTAAACATTTCATGCCTTATATTTTATTTAATTTTCTTTTATTTGTTTTTCATATTTAAATATATTTTCTTGATGTTTTACAGAGAGGAAGGGAGAGGGATAGAGAGTTAGAAACATCGATGAGAGAGAAACATCGATCAGCTGCCTCCTGCACACCTCCTATTGGGGATGTGCCCACAACCAAGGTACATGCCCTTGACTGGAATCGAACCTGGGACCTTTCAGTCCACAGACTGATGCTCTATCCACTGAACCAAACCGGTTAGGGCTGTTTTTCATATTTAAATGGCAAAATAATACATGCTTGTTGTGAAAAAACAACACCAACACGGAGTATTCAGAAACATATAGGATAAAATATATATCTTGAATTGCCTTATCCTTCAGTCCCATTGTCTTACAAGTATTTTGATTTGTATCCTAAACCATTTCATTTGGATTTATACAAATAAGTACACACATAGCTATATAGGGCTTTTTTTTTTTTTTTTTAAAAAAAAGCTAAATGGAATCATGGTACTATGTATATTGTTATTGTTTAATTTAAAAAAAATAGCCGTGGCCTGGTAGCTTAGTTGGTTAGAGTATCATCCCCATATGCCAAGATTTCAGGTTTGATCCCTAGTCAGGGCACATATAAGAATCAACCAATGAGGGTATAAATAAGTGGAACAACAAATTGATGTCTCTCTCTCTCTCTCTCTCTCTCTCTCTCTCTCTC